CAGGCCTAACAGAGCCTGGAATAGTTTGTGCAGAAGATATCATTGGAAAAAGTAATGAGCTTGATGAACTGCCCTATTCTGTGTCAGCATCAAGGCCAATATGTTCCCATTTCTGTTCCAGGGGCAGTGTTTCAACCAACAAACAAACAAATACCTTCAAACTCAAAGTATTCCTTGAACCTACTCTCTAGCATTCTCCCAAAATAAGACTTGCCAGTGTTAAGAACCCCTCCAAAGGCACTGTGCATAGTGACAAGAAGATTAAGGTAGCAAAATGAAGAAGACAGACAAGACTGAGCAGACACAGTAATGTGGAAGGGGCTGTGGAGAACTTGGAAGGTGAGGGAAGAACATAGAAAAATTAGGGTTAATGAAAAAAAGAGAAAAGTGGAGAAGGAAACAGGAGCATCTAGCAAAATGTTAGATGGGAGAGGGCATGTGGAGGTGGTGGCAGAGAGAAGACAGGTAAAAGGTGAACTTTATTGAAGGATGACAAGCAACACAATTTGGAAGAAGCGCAAATTCAGTATTTAGCAAAAAGAAGATTAAAAATGAAAGTACTTCAGTGATTCCAAAAATGTTCAAATTAGGGTTTGGTTGGTTTTTTGGTTGTTTTTTGGTTTTTTTGTGTGTTTGGGGGTTTTTTGGGGTTTTTTTGTTTGGTTGGTTTTTGTTTGTTTGTTTGTTTTTTGGGGTTTTTTGTTTGGGTTTTTTTTTTTTTTTTTTTTTTTTTGGGGGTTTTTTTTTGGGTTTTTTTTTTTTTTTTTTTTGTTGGTTTTGTTTGGTTTTGTTTGTTTTGTTTTTTGTAAATAAAGACACTTGGTGTAGTCAGAATAGACATCACTCCAGAAATGGGATAAATGTAAAAAGGAAGAAACCAGCTGCAGGAAATGTTCTTTTAAAAATACAGATTACTGGAAATAAGAAGCTGGTGTTGACTGAGATTTGTGCAGGTTACTGAACTATGGTCACAGTTCTTCCTGTAAATGCAGTCCAACCAGTGGCAAGAGAAAGATTTGAAGTGTAAATAGGAAACACAGGCTGTTATTTGATCCTAACATAGGCTGTTATTCTATTCTATTCTATTCTATTCTATTCTATTCTATTCTATTCTATTCTCATCTTTATTGGATATGAAGTGGGAATTTTAGTATGAAAGCTTGAATTTTGTTGAAAGGAGGTGGTGTGGGAAAACAAGATGAGGAGGTAAATTGTCAGACTTGGTTTAAGAAAACACATCAGAGGAAAGTGGAGAGAAGAGAACAAGCTGTAACAAGAACTTGTAACAGCAGGGCTGGCAAGGGAAGAAATAGCACTGAGGAAACTTCCGAAACACTATTAATGCACACCCAAGAGATGAGTGCTCAGTTCCTACGTGCACAAAAGAAGAGTGAACTTTAAGAGTGACATTTAACTGCTACAGTGAAAGCAAAGAACACAATAAATGAGAAGATGAAGGAACGATAAAAGGTGTTTGGCTAGACTTTGCTCCCCAGAGAAAAGGCAAATTGGAGTCTCAATTCCCACAAATATTTTGAGAGAAATTAACTTGGTCCAGGAAAACTCAAGGAGAAAAAACCAAAACAGATGTTCAGATCAGACAGAAATTGTAATGATTGTTAGCACAATGTGAGTTACTCTGGCCAATGCTATACTGAAGAATATCCTTATACAGTTTCTGCTTTGAAATTTGTTTTATTTACATTTCTTCTTCATGGCCATTTTGTTAACGACTTTCAATATTTTTAGAAATCAAAGTACATTGCAAATTGCAATACACATCCAGAAATGAGACAGGTTGCATTTCAACCACTAAAGTGATGAAAATTTCATCAGAAACAGAGCATTCTTTGATTAAACAAGAGCAGCAGTTCAAAATAGCTGTGCCTAAATCCTGTACCTGCATTTCTTTTGTCCAAATTAGCAAGAAGTGAGAACCCAACTTTTCAACTTCATTTTTCTTTTTTTCAAGTATACAGAAATTACTAAATACATCTTTTGAATATTCCAATACCACAGGTAAAATTTTAACCATGTTGCACAAACTTTTTCTTGGGAAGCTACAGAAATAAGGAAAATACAGAACACATGGAAATTACACATCAGCTAGTTGAAATGCTTAATAAATGCATAAGAGCTTATCAAGACTTTTGAAAATGCTTGTTTAATCCAATAATTAAAGCTCAATAAATAAAGGGGATTTTTGATATTGACTTGAACTGAAGCAAGATCAGACTTGACAGTCTTAAGGAAGTATGGTTTTATTGTAGTATTTCAGATAAAACTCTGGGTTAAAAGCTTCAATAAACATCACTTACCATGTGATGACCAATACTACTTGAGACATTTGTCTGTTTGAAGAAAAATTAGAACTAACCTATAAATAATAATATAAAGCCCAAATAAGCAAACTACTGTCCCCTCCCTTTTTTTTTTGGTCTGGAAAATTCCACTCAAAATCTGTAGGTCATATTTTTGATGAATTTCTACAGACTTTCAAGGACTCACATGGTAGTTATTCCTTGGGTGAAGGAAGCATGAAATGAGAACAGGTGATGTAAGACAGGCCCCTTTTGTCACTTTACATGTCCCCAGCATTTCAATTTTTAAGGTTGTGTGAAGAGCCTCACAGCAGGTCCATACAGGAAATCATCTTGATGAATGTGTCATTTTACAATACAGAAGTGACTCCAATTAATCTCTGTGTGCAGGGAGGCAGCCTATAACAAGTAGTGTGTTGTAAATTCAAAACCTTTCTTAGTACACACTGACTTCTTAAACCATTAAAGCTCTTCTGAACCTTCTTGACACAACCCCTTACTGCTTCAAGGCTTGTTAATAAGGCACTGGATAGGACATAGGACCATGTCACTGTTGCCAGGAGATGTGGATGAAATTGGGAGTACAGTAACAGTAGCACTTCTAAAATTCTTCCTCTCTTCTTCAGCTTGTTTAAACATTAAGATTGTACTCTAGATTTGCTTAATCTGTGTGTATTTAGGAGTGGGGGGCAGAAGGGGGGTTTCGGGTTTCTCTGGGAACAGTAGTGAACTGGGATAAGGAAATATGTAATTATACTTTCACAGAATTTCACACTTGTGAAATTCTCTTACAAGGACTGGTATTCTTCCTGTTGAACTCAGTTTTAAAATCTCATTAATCCTAATGATTAAATTCATCAAATCCATAGCAGACAAAGATCCTCATGGCAAAATTATAGGAATCGAGGAGGATTTCACTTGATGGTATTCTATAAGTTTGTACAGGATGGGCCATCTTGCTTCAGTATTACACAATGCAAGATTCAGGGGCAAACTCAAATGTGAAAATGCAGCTCATCTGCCAAGAAAAAAAAAAAAAAAGTAAATAGATTCAGGCAGGACACTTCCTCCTTTTGTGTAATTACCTCTGCAAAAGATCTGCACGGCTAACAAAGTCTCTGGCAATGAGACAAGAATAAAAAAAAGCTTAGTGAGTGTCTAAACAAAGTTTCCCCCCTCATTTGCCTTGGCTTCTTACAGAATATCAGGAATAGTAGTGATGCCTGGGGGCTGGGACTCACCCTAGGGCTAAGTTGGGCACCCTGGGGCCCCTTGTAGTTAAACCAGCATGGTGCCCAGCTGTTCTGGGAATGACTCTCTCTCTCTCTCTCTCTCTCTCTCTCCGTGCCTGAGCCAAAATAAGCTCAGCTACACTTAATTGGCTTCCAGCTGATCACAGCTCATGCAGCTGCCTCTGAGCTCTGCCCAGGGATTAACCTGTACAAGTTCAGGGCACTCACCCAGGCACTCAGGCTCCTCCCCAGCCCAGATGTGGTGCAGGCTGATGACCAGAGCTCAAGAGCACTCCCAGGGATGCTGGAAGACCTTCCCCACAGGCACATAAAACCCATCTCAATGTGTCTCCTCCTTAATGTAACAGGGAGAGCAGCCATATAATTTTCAAACTGTGTGGTGACTTGGCTGGTTAGCCACGGGAGTTTTCCTTCTGTTTCCCTTAAGAACTGCAGAATAAGTTTACCAGGAGGACATCTAGAGAAAGAGCTGACAGTGATTAAAACACCTTTGAACTCTTTTGGTATTACCACATGAGAAGCCCATACATAATGTGTTTGCAATGAAGTTTGCACTTTCCACACTGGGAAAAACAGTTTTTCATGGCCTGAAATACCTACCATCTTTAGGCTTCTTTAAAAAATAAATGGATGAACAAGCACTTTAAATCTTGGCGAGGAAACAGAGTTAAGGAACAAGCTCCACCCCTCAGTGAGTTAGTGAGGGTTTACAAAAATCAGTTGCACAAGCCAGTTAAAAATAAAGCAGTGGCTGGAGCAGGGAGGCAAAAAAAATTGGGACTACAGGCTATTAAAAATACTTTTCCTGTCTCAACAGGAGCAGGCTAGCTGAGAACATTTACTTAAATTCTTCTTAGGAGAATGTTTATACTTGTATTGAGATAATCCTTGTGGGGCTGATTTGATTTTGGCCTTTAATTTGTTTAACCAGCTTTGTGTCAGAGACAAGTTATACGGAGCTGTGTTGTTTGAACTGATTGCATTTTTTCTGCTAAAGAGAGAAGTTTTACTCAATTTCCAAGTGAAACATCAAATTATCTAATTAGGCAAAAGCACACATAGAACAGAGAAGTTAGCAAATGAGGACCGCTTTAGCAAATAATTTGTTTTTAAACTTAAATACCTAAATTTGCAGCTATTAAGTTTCTCTTAAAGTATTTACAAATCAAGGGAGACCAAGCAGCAGTAATACCTCCACAATGCATAGAGGGTTCTGAGTAGGCAATTTGCATTTTCTGCAATTCAGAACATTATATTTAGCACATAGTGTAGTTTCCCTGTGGGTGCACAGCAATAGAAGTCAAAACAAACAGATACAAAGCGTTTTAAAAACAGCATTTCAGATGACGCATTGCCTGCTTGAAATGACAAGTCTGTACATTGCAGGGTAGGGCTAATATCCACCTCTCCTTTATAATTTGAAAGTCTGTGTTGATTTATTTTCACTCCACTTCATGTGAGACAGGGCTATTTTGAAGCCTTTTGGGAGAAGAGAAAAATATCACTGTAAAGAAACCATCTACCATGAAATTTTAAAAGTGTTTGGAAAGGAAACTCAGGAGATTTTTATCTCAAAGCCCATTCAATCATCCTTTATTTGGAACTGCTTTTAAATACTCTTCTACTGCAATGGGAGAAACTTCTCCATACCAGCTCTGAAGCCAGATATGTTCAATGTTCATTTTCATGAAGAACCACTCATAGCTACGAGGCCACTTTCTTACCACTGGGTGCCTGGAAGGACAAAGAAAAGCAAAAAAATATTAGAAGATGTGCCAAAGCATATGCATAGTCTGCTTTTTTCTTCAGCCTGGTGTGCTCAGCCAGAGTGAAACCTGAGATATGAGAACACCACCATTCATCTTTTTGGCCCTTCCTTGGTGTAAGGTTTGTGATCTTCATCACCTCAATCTGGGCAGAACTGCAACACAGGCAGCCAGCAATCACCACCTTCACCCACTGCAGAACCCTATCTCTAAAGGTGTTGTTTGGTCTCTGAGTAAGTGAAAAATAGTTAGAGAAGACTCTTTGAATGTATGTCAGCGTTGTGATTGTATCTGTTTAAAGGAAACAGTGACCTGAAAATACTACATCTTTGGTAGCACTTGTGGTACGGAAGGAGGGCTAATAAAACTGGGTAGCAGGTAGAGTATTGTCTCTGCAAGCTGTCACCTCCGACAGCCTTCTCATCCTGTATTTTTGTCTCATTTCTCTCATCTCCTTAACAGCTAGGTCAGACAGAATCTCCCTGACAGGGTGCAGATGTCTGCTCCCCAAGCCGCAGCGAGCATAGCTGTGGGCAGCTCAGCAGCGATGCACAGAGTGGGTACCACAGTTCAAGTCACTGCTCACAGGAACATGGGCGGGAAGTGGTGCAAGTCTGGGCAGCGTTGGCTCACTGCTCTCTCCTCCTGCACAGGACCCTGCAGCAGAGGTGCTTGGTTTGGCAACCTCTTGGTTTCCCTCTCAATGGGAAAATTGTGTTTCCTACCATTTTCTGAGTTGTCCCTTTGAACACCTATGATTCTGGGGTTGATAAGTGGCATCAGATCCTGCTGGCACTAGATGTGCCCCAGCAGCCCTCACTTTATCTTTTTGACTCTTGCACCCTCTGCTGAGGTGCTGGTGGGCTCTGGATCACATGGAAATCTAATTCTTGTGAAGTTTGTAAAGAAGGCTTGTGTGTCAATATGGCTCCATGTGTTCATGGTCCCATTTTTGATATTGGTGGCACACACTGACAGAGTCCCATCCTGTAGGTCAGAAGGAATACCATCTCTGGGCTGTTTCAGATCCAAGCTCATCCCAGTTTCCCAGCAGTATTTGACTGACCAGGCAAGGTGAACCTGGAGGACAATCCCTGGCAGCCCATGTGGGAGTTGTGTGCCCCAGCTAAGGTTTAGGCTTTTCACGCCTCTAATTCTGGAAACCCACTGAAGGGCATGGGGGCACACCCTGTGTGTGTGCTACACATCTGGGTTGTTCTTGCATCTGTTCAAAGGAGACTGTTCAGTCAGTACTATGGCTTTGAAGCAGCTGGGACATGAGGAGATGTAATTAAACTTGTAAGCTCCACCCTGAAAATATTTGTAAACCCAAAGGCAGCAGACCTCTGCTCTGTCTCTGAGTCCACTACCTGTCATAAGGTGGGGTAGAATCATTAAAGATAACAAATACACCATGGAATTATGGAATTTCTCCTTGGAACCAGGTGACATATCTTCATAATCCCCAGATTATAAACCATTTGCTTTACCAGAGTCCAACACTAACTAACTGCATTTCCATATTTCATTTCCTCAAGAGTTAATAGGTCTGTCATTCCAAGCCACACAGAAGCCAGCATGCTTCATGGCCCCAAAGCAAAGGTCAGGCTTGTTATTTCTCAGATTTTCTGTACCAAACAGCCACATTTGTGTATTTTTCTCAGACCCGTGGGTTGCACTCTACTGTGTGCCTGTTAGATACAGACCTGGAAAACATTGCTTGCTTGGCAAATTCTACTTCCTCTGGAGGCACCGTGACCATCTGTCCCGTGAGAGTCAGCCTGGCGCACCTTGGATCCTCTGGATCAATTACGTTTTTTCTGTGCACAGAGAAAATTGCTCATGAATAACAGCTTACTTGCTTTTTTAAAGGTTTTTGGAGAAGTGTGGACTCCTGCTCACATATAAAAAGCTTTGTCAAGCCTTGTGGGTCTTCTCTACTCCCAGCTATACTGTTTGGTAGACGGGGAAGTCTGGAAGGAACACTTGATTGACATATAGCTCTGCTGTAAATAGTTGCTTAATCTTAATTTATGATCACAAAAATTGGATTAGTATATATTGGATTGTAAAAAAATGTGAAAATGGCAGTATTCCCAGACAGATGTACAGGCCTGTATTCAGGATTCTGAGAAGTAGTGAGATGGTTAGTCTGTGTCTATGCCTACAGAAAAGAGTATGAATATGTCTATCTGTATGTAAAACATAAGGTCTTTTCATTGTGCTTATCCTAGAAAATCAATCCTTGTTCATTTTTTACCCATTTTTCAACTATTTTACACCAAATAGAAAAGTTCTCCAATTGCCTTCAGACCAAGACAGGGAAGGTACTTGTTACTTCTTGGCTCTTTGTATATAGTTATAATAAATAACTCCCATTAGTAACTGCAGGGCAATTGCTGACTCTTGACATATACAATACAAGGACATAAATCATAAGTAAATCTACCAATTGCAAAAAACCAAATGTGTATGAAATGACTGCAAAGGCTTGATCCTGGCAAATACTGAGCAGCCCAAAGTCCTGTCGCTAGCAGTTTGAGACTGCTTAGTGTCTCAGGGAACCATGTTCCCATGTCAGCCCAACAAACTACATTAGGAAATGAAAGCTGTATTTCTTCTTCGCTGTGTTTTACTCACAGTAAATTACATCTCATCCATGTACAATTTTACTTAAAGATCTTGGCTTGAGCCCTTTAGCCTTAACTGTGTGCAATCTGCAATGGCTTAATTTTTGGTTATATTTCTCAATGTGGGTCTAGTGTATGCAGGAAACATATGGGCATCCTCCCGCAGCTAATTTAACACCTGCAGATTCTCCACAGATGGTTATGAGAGACTGTGTAGCTCACTAGATAAAATAGCTGCTTTTCTAAAGAGGGTCATAAACAGAGATATGTAAGGAAGTACAGGAGGCTGATTGATACTTGACTATGTCCGGTAAACACTTGCCACTGTCTGCAGCTTGACCTCCAAAGTGCCATTTGCAGTCACATCATCTCAGGGACACTATTTCAGTGTCCTGCTCAGTCTGGAGCAGCAGTTGAAGGGGATGTTCAGTTTAAGAACTTTTGGACAAATTCCACTTGTATTTGTTTCCCTCTCCCATGCTTACTGATGGGAGGAAGGGTCAAGGCCAAAGAGCAGGCTCTGACTTTCTGTCCACATCAAATTATAATTTTCTCTAGTACAATTTCTTAAGTTATGAAAGTAGTGTTCTGAGTACCCAAAAATCTGCATTCCCTGCCCAGGCACATGGATGTATTTCTATCAGTGTGTATGCAGAGTACAAACTTGTACTAATACTTGATCTACATGATCACCTTGGTACACCATAGATCCTCAGCACTGACTCCTACTGCCTACTGAAGATGTCACTTCACGTCTGGGTTCCAGTAGTCTGAAAGTGCACTGTCCCTAAGGAGCTCAGCTCCATCCCCAGGGACACCTGTAGCTCCTGGGATTTCTTTTGCATAGGCTTTGGGTGTTGTGTGGCTGCCCAGTGAGATGCTCACCCACCAAAACACAAATAAATTAAGGCAAATACAGTGAACACAGCTGAAGAGAAAGGAGTGGGAGTGCACCCACACTGCAGAGGGTGTCAGCTGAAGGTCTGTGTGTCCAGCAGCCAGGGCAGTGCACATTCACACTCTTGCAACTGTTGGTCCTGGATGGTGAAGTGTTCAAGTCCATTTGAAACAATCTCCTGATCTACTGTTATCTTTTATAACAATAAAATCTTAATACTGTAACCAAAGCCCTCTGCATATGTTTATATATTCAGTACATATTTAACATTTATACTGATGAAGGAAAGGGACTTCCTGCGTGCAGAAATTCAATTCAGAAAATTGCTTTAAAACAACTGTGCATCTGAATATATGATACAATTTCCTCCACAGCCAAACAGTATCATAAAACAATTGAAGAGCCAGGGAAAGCAGGAATAATTGCAAGTGTCTTTCTTGCACACAGCTCCTAAGTAATATATGGTTAATTACTTTAAGAGAGGATTTTGAAAGAGATTGTTATTAAAGGATGTCTGTGTTTCACAGAGCAGATCGAGGTGATAGATTTTGGATGTGATCAGGAGCAGTGAGAAGTTTTGTTCTGACCTTCTCAGATTACAATTGTTTGGTGGTTTTGTGCAAGTCCATGTTTATTCTGAAAGCATAGTATTTGATTTTGAGTAGGCTATAGAGCTGATGTAGCTGTGGTTAAGCAGTGAACCCTGCCTGTCTTTGCTGAGAAAGTTTTGCCTAACAGGACTAGTGTCTGATGTGACTCTTCCACAACTGACATGAAAAGCTGCTCTCCACATTTTTGGCTGACAACAAAGCCCACACACTGTGCATCCATAGCTTGAATAGGTTTTTTTCATGTTTTGGTTTTTTTCCCCTGGCTTCTTCTGTTTGCAGTTTTTTGTACATTCTCATGAAGCAGGGTGCTACACTGATTGACACAAATAATACTATCTTCCCAGTAAAAATTATTCAAACTGAATTTTGCATATTGGAATAATATTCTAGAGGGTCGGTTTGTTTTTCTGGGAAATGACTCAAACAAATTATTTGTTGAGATTATGTGAGGTGAAGTTTTGGAAGAGCTGAACAGGGCAGTGATATATTTGAGTTCAGCATACTGTTACTACTTTATTGGTTTTGCTTTCAGGCCTGCCTGTTATCATAGGGGTTTTTTTTCAGATTAGGAACCTTGTATTCTAATCTGACATTAGCATCAGTATTTTCTTTTTCAAAGGAACCCTTCATATTCTGAAGTGGATCTGCTTCTGCTTTTTTTTTTGGCATAGTATTTCCCTAATGATGTTTGATTACTTTTATACTTCTTAAACCATCAAAACCCACTAAACTTACAACAACCATTTCTAAATGTTGTGAATGGGTCTTCAGTTTTCAGTGTTATTGCCAGTGCAACTAATACAAATGCAGGATTTGCTTCCTTGGAGCAAGGTGATATAGTCAGGGATTTATGTCATATTTTTACTAAAGATAATAAATGGATATTTACTAAAACATTCCTCACTTGCATCTGTAGAGGTCTAGTCATGCATTCACTAGACATTTCTTGCCTCTGTATAAATACGTATTCAGCTCCCAGTCCCTGAGTTCCTCTCATCTTTGCTGGCACAAGAACAAGTACATGCAAGGAGCAGCTTTATGTAACATTTGTGTGCTGCTGACTGGGTGTGAGGGGGAGGCAGAGTCGGGGTAGACATAATGCTCTGTTGAGGAAACCCAAAGTGGTGTCTCAGGTGGTTTGTCTTTTCCAGAATCAAGCCCTCCGCCTCCATGGAGAGGACTTCATGAATGCCATAGTAAAACATGAACTGAGGGGAAGAGAAAGCAGGTAACTGTGAAAGAAAACCAAGCAATAGGGAACACATTCTTTTTTTTCATGCTTATTTCAAATGCATATGCTTTGTTGCAGAAAATTAGGAAGGCCAGATTAAAATGGAAGAAGATTCAGTTTACGCATTTTATAAGACAACAGTGTATTAAGAGATATCATCTTAATTATTCATCTGGTCTGTGAAGACAGAAGAATTGATTGTTCCTGTTCCTCTGCTTACAGTGAGCAAAGTAGGTATGCAGAGTTTGACCCAGTCCAGGCAGTTTTCTTCCAAGTGTGTGAGATGATATCACCTACAAAGGTGCCAGCTTTACTGAGCTTAAGGAAAGGCCTGCATCCAAGTAAAAAGTATTTCCCAACAGAAATGCAATGCTGCAAAGCACACTGCTAATGACCATGTCCCACTTATTTTACTATGTAACACTTCCGCAATTTCTGGGTCCTGGTTCAAGAGTGCTTCAGAGTAAAGAGTGCCACCTACTCATTAAATTGTTTACTACACTAGCCATCTCTTGGAGTTTAATTAGAAGGTTTTTATACAGCAACTATCCAAGTCCAGGCGTTATGAACCTGTACTTCAAGCTGCTGTGGTTATATTGGCACACAAGATGATGATGTTGGGACTTGGTTAGGATTCCCTTTCACAGGTGAGATCTGTGCTTTGACTGATGATGGTCTGTCTCCTGGTTTCTGACCAAAGTATCCCTGAGTATTATCTTCATTCTCAGCCTCTGCAATCCATTAGTGAGGTGACACTGATCTGCCACAGATCAACAGGAAAAGCAAATTAAGAGTTTGGAAGGCACTTGGGAAGGAAAGCCAGGTACTCCCAAGAAGGAACTGGTAGGAGAAAGGCAGGAGGGTTCAGTACTGTTCCACTCTGGGTCTATACAGAGGAATCCCATTCTTTTTCTTCTTCCCCAGACTCATTTTCCCACAAAGGAGCTGACATCCTTCTCCTCCACTCCCTGAGGAAACAAGACCTTCCACCCTCCCTGGGAGGATACACAATATGTCCCCTGAACACATTTCTCACTGCCGTGTGAGAAATCACTGCTCTCGTCCCTCTACTTCTTCAGAGCTGAAGAGAAAAGAAGTTAGGAAAGAGCTTTCTCCTATTGCAGAGAAGAAGAGACAGAGAGCCAAGAAGAAAGGTCCAGAGAACAATTTCCCTACATTTTTTTTTTTTTCTATTTTAAAGCACACAGCTCATGAGTGGAATAAGGGCAATGACTGCTTCTACACAATCTAAGCTCTTCTATAATGTTAGCAGTCATGAAAACCCATGTAATTAGGAGATGGGGATTGGCTGCTGACACAGCTCATCCCTGTCACCTCCCATGGATGCAAGGTAGGTGACTCTGTCACACCCTACACAGGGCTCCTCTTCACATAGCTTCAAACTGGCACAAGGTGAAAAGGCAGAGTTATTTTTTACTATATAAAATGC